TGCTGCTGCTGCTGCTGCTGGTTATGTCGGTGGAGCGCAGTCCTACAATATTTCACCGCAATCCTCCTCAATGATTCCTTGGCTGCAAAGTTTGGTACCGTCATCTTTGAGAATCTGATTTCAGGTTGCTGTCAGGATGCTCCCCAAGTCCAGTAGTATCACGATCTAGCCTAAGTTGAAGCTTCAAAGATCATTGAAGCTTCAAAAGTACGTGCCAGATCTCTCTGTCCCTCCAAGGAGCCCTGGGCACCTACATACTCAACTTCCCAGGCCCTTCCGCAACCCGAAGCCCAACAAAATCTCTCGCTTCCCCTCCTCCGCGCCCCCACCCTGTAAATCGAAAACCTTAAACTCTATAGTCCCCCTNNCCCCTTAAGTAGATAGAAAAGGGAGAAAGGGGATCTTATTGTAAAAGACCCAAAGCCATATTCTATCTACTTAAGGGGGGCTATAGACCCTAAACCTTAGGTGGACCCCCACCCAGTAATAGTAACTATAGGGGATAATAGGGATTTTACTAAGGTCCTCTTAAAATCCTATTAAACCACAATTACAAGGTGGGGGGTTCTCCTAACCGAAACTCTACACCATCCTCAGCTCGCCTTGAAGTCGGCGAAGTCCTGGCCCTTTGGCTTCTCTACTTCCGGCTCCTTGGGCTTGGCCTCCTCCTGAGAGCAACATTGCAGCAACATGTGGGGGCGTCAGAACAAAAGAAGGACTCCAATAGAGAAGCCAATGCATTCGAACCCTTATTAGCAGAACTACCCTTCCCCCTCCCCCCCGAAAACAAAAAGGACACCTTATTTTCTCGGGCATGAATTATGTAGCATCCGCTGCACTTGCTCAACATCTCGTTTCTGCTAGGAACCTTGACGGACAACGTGTGCAACACACAGGTCACGTCAGAGGGAGCTCTATCAACGTAATGTTGACACCGGCGCAAGTTTTGCTAAGGTGGTTCTGCCCGAAAAATACTTGCCGGATAATACTGGAACCTTTGGATTTGTCCGTTGGCCGACGACAGCACATTCCAGGCAACCTGCCTATTGATGCTTATCGCCTTCCAGGTCACTCCATGCCCCACACTGACAATTTCGACTCATGGTGAGCGCTCACGCTCAAGCCTTCACTGATATCACGTACAAAATGGAACTGTGTGCATAGCTGTCATATCATGTCACCCTTCCCGTAAGTTCCCCTCCTGAACCTTGCACCCCTACCCCCACTTGCTAAACTCTGTGGAGCCTCGGGCTTGTCTTCCTTTGCAGCCTCTTCTTTGTCCTTGGCGTCCTTTGGAGCCTTTCGCTTTTTCGAAGCCTTTACAACTTGCTCGGCTTTCCACTCCGCCTGGAGCTTTTTGACCTCAGGCTTCCGTACTGTAGTGCCCTTAGACCTGTAAAAAACTGTTTTCAATACTTCCTTAGGGTTCTACTTCCTAAGGACACTGCAGTGCTTCTACAAGGGGCTACATGCAGGTACCTCGAATCCTTAGGCTTAGGATCCTTTTGGGCTGTAGTGTTCGCTAGGAAGCCCTCACTTCTAGCTTCCACTGCCATCTGGTGCCAAGGTTCCCCTGTCCTGGCTGAAGAAGTGCTGATAGGGCGCAGGAGGTATAATAGTGTGTGTGTGTGTGTGTGTTTGCCAGTGTGTTTTTTCACCTTGGGTTGAGCCGACGACTATAGCGGCCTCGCGAATTATGATAGCTTCTCTGACGAACGCAGACATCTGCTGCCAAGGAACAGCCTCTTCTTCTGCCATCTTTTCCTAGCTGCCGGTTTGTCAGCTGAATGCCATCATATGGAGCAGTGAAAAAAACTTCCCCAGCTTAGTATCATTGACATTGTTATCGGTACTTTTGCTCTGACAAGGTTTTACTCTAGAAAAGCCGTTATCGGTATTTTTCTCCATTTATTGGTGAAGGCTTTTTATGAAAGGGACGAAACTTCAGGAGCCCACCAATTCCAAACGAAGAGGCGTGTTTTTACCATCCCATACGCTTTCTTAAAGACTGAGTGGAGCGGTAGCGGTTCGGGCTGCAGGCATGATGTGGGTCCATCATTGGGTCTCTACTTCTAAGCAAAGTCATATGGATGCTTGTGTCCGCTAACACCTCCGGAACAGGACGTCCGAGTTTGTGTTCAATAAGGTGCAGGCAGACATACACAGACTGATCATCACATACTGGCAGTCTGGGCCCTGACATTTGAACTGTCTGTCCTCCAAGAGCAGCATACCATCCTCTTCGTCTCGCCAGCCGTAATAATCTGGCTGAATATGGAGGAAGAGCTGCTTCCTGGGACAGGTGAGCCTTCCCTACCGTTACTGTGGCTAAGCTTCCCTTCCTATAGCCTTAATGATGCGGGGGAAGCAGCAATTACATGCGGTACCCTTGTCATCATCAACCATGTACCCATTTTGAAGTGCAGCTGACCGCGTAGATTTGAGATCTCTAGGATCCTTGCTGGCAAGGCCAACTGGGATTCATAAGTGTAAGACTCCTGCGCCCACTCATAGCCCCGAACGTCCCCCCAAGTACTCATGCATTGCCATCTTCTCACTGCTCATGTCTTAGATTCTGGGATTCTGGTCTTGCTGTTGCCTCAGACTGCATTGCTGTATGGCTAAAAGGCGCCACCATACCCATACACATCCTGCAGAAGACTGGCGCACGTACTGTGCCAAAAATTTGGCATACGTTTGGGAGGGCATGGAATCCTGTGGCTACCCGGGGGCTCAAAGAAGAAAATCAGCGGGGGAAAAACAACTTGCAAACAATGCCTCTTTTCAGGCCAGGAGTCCCCACCCACCATAGAACCCGCCCTAGAGCATGCAAATATCCCTGAATTTTCAGGTGCCCCTTCAAGCCCTCTCCTAGCTTATCGTCAACACGCCACGACAATGGCAATGCAATACTCAGAGCAGCTGTATAATAGGTACCAAGCACGACAGTGAAAACAAGAGCTTGTCATATCGTTGGTCAGTGTTGGGGACGCCTTACCAAAAAACAAAGGCCCCCAGTATCTAGAATGCCAAGCTTATGCACTCCAAACCCTAAACCCTAAACCCCAAACCCTAAACCCCAATATTCGGGAATGTTCTCTCCTCCATCCCGGCCTTGTCTTGCGCGGGGCATCTGGGATGACCTCCGTCTCAAAGAGCTCCCGCACACCGGGCAAGTCCTTTGCGGCACCGAAGTACCTTGCAGAGTGCCGAGCGTGTAAGGAATAGAAATAATACAATACAAGCCTAGAATGGAGAACAAAAACTGCTCATGACAAACCTGAATATATCTTAAAGCTTAATGTTAACCTACCATTAGTAAAGGGGTGGCAATAATATTTTGTTGCCGAGTCAGGAAAATCCCGGAAGACTACGTTTGCCTTTTTAACAAGTTGGGAGCCCCACAAGGTGTAAACAAGGTCTATCGGCAATAATGAGGGGCTGGCAATGAGATTCTTTTCCACCCGAAAGTCTCCCGATTCGAATAAATTTCCTTCTACTTGCAGTACTAGTAGTGCGAGTTGCACTACCTAGTCCTGCCCCAACCCCTGGTTCATTGTTGCGACCGCCCTCTCTCTGTAGACCAAAAATGCAAAACAAGATCTCTGAGCGGAGATTCTTCATTCGGAGCTTAACCTTATGCAGCTAACGAAGAACAGTAGCGATCAGTTGGTAGGACAGCACCCGGGACAATGGCAGCAACTATGAGAGCATTCACATCCATGGCCATCCTCGTAGTTGCAAAGGTTCCTTCCTTCTGTTTTAGAAGTTTAGAAGCAACCCTATAGCCTTTGTAGTCTTCGTCGTAGTCCTGTTGAAGATCTGAAGGTGCGGCATCCGACTACAGCATTCTCGGCACTCACACTGTGCATCTACTGAGCTGACAGGGACTAGTTCAAAAAATAGGCAGCCTTGTTCGTGGGGAATTTGTGCAGGCCTTCGTGGGCAAGGAGAGGCATGTGCCCAATACCCTATGCTGCTCGTCCCCGACTAGTTTTCAAAACAATTTCTGAGGCTGCTTCTTTCCGCTGCGCTGCTACAAAGAGTGCCGCTCCTAGCAGTTTTGCTGTCATTGGCTAGCTACTACTAGTGCTAATAATACTCACTCCATATCGATACTGAAAAGTCATCCGGGCTAGTGCTGAGAACTCTTGAGTAGCTGATAGTACAGCTGCCCCGGCTGTTTTTGCAGGCCAGGATACTTATAGCCACTGTGCGCAGCTAGCTCGGCGCCGTAGGTCTCTACATCCCGCTTGGGCTGAGACTTGTAATCTGCACCTGGCATTGCGGCTAGGATTTCGTGGAATCTGCGCTGCGAGGGGTTCAGGCAAGAAACGAGCACCGAGACGTGTGTCAGGTCTATGCCTTCGAATATGGAGGCCGCATGGGCATCTGTACGGTGTGCTTAAACGACTTGGCTTCAGCCGTTGAGAAAGCTGAGCGGCCTGCACTCTCGCCTCTTCTCGGTCGGTCGGTCAAGCAGCCCCCCCAACCCTGCGTTTAAAGTTGGCAAGTGGCCAGGCTTCAGGCGTGATTCCGAATGACTTTTTGGTGAAAGTCCAGCCTCCACAGCCACTGGTGGGACCCTGCATCCCCAGCCCTCTATTGTCCTAATCTTACTTCTTCTTCTTCTTTTTTCTGGACCTCCAATTCCGCCCCAAGCCTTCTGAATCGACCACCTTTTCCTTGGGTATCGCAAGTCCCCTTGCTTGTATTTCTGCAGCCCTCCCCTCAAGAAATGACTCCTTGCACCGAGCACCTGCGGTGAGTATGTTGCGAAACATGTGGCTTTAACTGGGTTATAGCATGGCCACAGCCTGTCCAAGCAAAACCACCTTTTGTTTGCGCCAGCCTCCAAGCGCCTTGATCTGATCCTCCCAGTAGCCCTTCTCGCGCAGATCCTGGTGGCAATGAGCTAGCTGTACAAACCCCTCGGGTTTAGTGGCTTTGGGTCTTCAAGGTTTTGCCTTTTGAGCTACAAGATCTGAGGGCTTGCTTGGTGCATGTAGGATTGTTTCCAGGCTTTGGGTTTAGAGTTCTGAGCGGGTTTCTAAGAGCGCAGCAATTTACAAGTGTCGAGGTCACAAGTACAAGGGTCAAACATCCGCGTAGTCTGAGATACAGAGATCGGCTCGCGCAGGAAGGACACAGATATGTTGTCAGTCTCATGCAAACTCCAGTGCGCAGCATGTAGGTCACATCGCTGTAAATATGATTGTGGTCACTGTCGTATGTAGTCTAGATAGCCACGATCATGTCTCAAGTTCCTTGTTGATCTCGTCGTTGAGATCGCGAATGCGGTGCTCACCTAGGGCTGCATTCTGGATCTCGGCGATCTTCTTCCTTGGCGCTGGGCACTCAGGTGCATTCGTGGGTTACCTAAGCTCTCCTCACAAGGGTTCAGGATGAAAGTCTCTGAACCCTCAGATCGCACAGCCTTTACCTTGACCTATGTCGCCTGAACAACTCCTCCCACGAACAGTTTTTAACACCTGGTTTGGCATGTGTTAAAGCTCCATGTCTGGGATGCTGACACCTCTGCCCAGCACTCCACAAAGACACTCTCTTGAACAGAGCCAATAAGAAAGCTGCACCTGCCCCCAGTTGACATGCAGGCGTGCGCAGCTTCGAACAGACTTACTCTGCCTACCATAAACCAAACGATCAATTAACAAGCAAGCGCCGAAGCCCTAACTGCGGAACTAGAAACATGTCAAACTTAGGCAGCTACATGCATTCCGCATTGCAGCGGTGTAAGCTGTTGCAGCTGCTGCCTCCAAACCTGCGCCTCCACCTCCCCAAGCCTCGCCCTTTAAGAGAAGAGAGCTTAGTTCTTTCGTGATCCCTACTACTTACCCGGCCTGGATTTAATGTAATTGCTTCCCTGACCTTATGACCCTCACACAGCTGCCAAGTTGCGCCACTCCGCGAAGAATATCCTGTCGCCAGTGCTCGCACTCCTTGACAGTTTTCACCTTCGCAGGTTGACAATGTAAGGTGCGGGGTTTCTGGGCGCAGGTTGTTTGAAGCTTTACGGGTCTTACGTCTTCAAGGGTGTTTAAAGCTTCCAGTCTTGGGCGGATTTTACTGGAATGCAGGGACAGATTCAATCGCCATTCACGCATTGCATCGAGGGATGAGGTTTGTAAACCTTGTGCGATTTGACTCTACGAGGGTCAAGGCTTCAACTTCACAAGAACTCTCGAGGTTCCTTGAGCCTGGAATTACTAACCCTATAAGCCTAAACCCCAACACCCGGACCTGTTCACAGATTTTCGGAGAAACTTTGGCTGGAACTTTTGGAGGTTCTCCAGAGTACTTTTTTGGGGTTGCCCATAATTACTAAGGGTTGTAGTATTCTAAAGGGTTATAGTTATAGTATTTTGGCACCACGCTGCCCCGGAGAAACCCCAAATTATCTCTCGGGCCTCGGAAGCGATCTTGGGCCGCTTATTCTGCTTGTAGGGCCCATAGGCCGCGGTGTCAGGCAAAGCGCCGCCCATGTAGGTCGCCTTACCTAGGATCACCGTTAAGGGGTCGGAGACGGAGAGGAGACCCTGGGCCATAAGTACAACTAATCATCTGTTCCTGGTCACGTGGGTACGGAGGCTGAGGAGTTGGGAGTCTGAGAATTTTGGAGGTCTGAGATGAGGAGGCTTGAACGTGCCTTCTGCCCTGCTGTATGCAAGGCTTGGTGCATCGGTTGGACCCGGGTAACATAACTGGGAAGAAGGTGCTGCTAATGGAAATATATCTAGGGCAAGGACAAGGCCAAGCTCCGGCTTCAGTTCCAAGATCTGCGCTATGGCTATTTGCCTGTGCTACGAATCTGCTTCTGCCCGTCATTGGCACTTCTGCTCAGTCTGCGTAACCCGCGGCTGAGGCAGAATCCGTAGCCCAAACGTTACAGGCACACTGGCCATCAACCGATTGCTGGGAACCTTACGACTAAACAAGAGCCACAATACAAAGGGTCATTGCAGTAAGTAATGGCATCTATGAGAGTCACCAGTAAGCATTATAACCCTTCTCCTCCACATGCTGAATAATGAAACAATAGTCAACTCATCAATGTGCTCTTTGCTAACTGGCTGGGGCACCCATGTTCTTCTGCATCTCGATATCTCGCTTCTGGGCCGTCCACCTGTTTAGGGCGGCCATCGCCTTTTCCTCATTTCGCGCCATGGCTGCGAGTGGCCCTGGAGGGGCAGGATCCTCCTGAGGCCGCTGTCTCCTCCTAAGACGGGAGGGAGGACCTCCCGGACTGTGAGCCAAAACCCTGCAAGAGGCTTTTGAACAAGAATGGTTGGTGACAATCTTGCATCATCAAACCGATTGTGGGCTTGAAGTTCCCTGGGCACCTCCCTTAAGTTTGACGCAGTGTAAGGCTGCTTAAGGTTGAAGTACCTTCTGTAGGACTTTGATTGGAAACTTTTGGTACAATGCTCTCTTGATTGAAGATGGGGACACTCAGGTTCGGCAGAGGAGAGGAGCCTTCGGAAAACATGGGGACAGCAATGACCGCAGTGTCCGCGTGCTGTCAATCAGCACCTTCAAGAAGTATCAACCATCGGCTGTTACTGAACTCCCTTTAAGGGTACCAAGCTTGTTGTCGAAAAAATGCTCCCTCCTTAGAAGCCCCAAACGTATCCAGGTCTTGGTTGTCCTTTTTGCTCCTGGACCCTTAAGAGCCCCAGACCTAGAACCCTTACATTACATGCGGAAGCCTATAAGCCCGGCTGAAAAGCCCACACAAGTCAATTCATGAGAACCAAACCCTAAAGTCTTAGCCATGCAAACCTGACCCCTTGAGGCCCGTAAGCGCCCAACTGGCTCCAGGCATTTCCTTGCTCAGCGCATTGCGCAGCAGTACCTTCTGAAGGCAAAGATTGTGCCATGGGGTTCTAAGGCTAATACAGGCTGGCTGTCTGGGCGAATCTATTCACGAGCACCCTGTCCAGAAGCCATTGCTCCACCCTGGATAGGTCTAGGACCCTATCACTTCCCTTGCTGTGAATATTCCTGATCCCTGCTCATGTTGACGCTATGTATGTAAGTATACATATCTGCTTTGAGCACTCCTTGTTGAACTATGAACTGATCCTTTTTCAGCCCCAAAGCCTCACAGCCTGAACAAAAAGTCGGGAGCTCTTGCTACCTTAGCTCCCTGCAGCAGATTGGCTCGTTAGGCCAGCTTGCATCAGCGGTGTGTCCTTAATGTCGCACAAAAAGGACGCAGCAATGCCCAACATCAATTCAACGGAAGGTTGACAGGTGACCACCAAGAAAGCATCAAAAATATTGACCCAATCATCAACAAACGGTAAACAAACACTGAGAGGATGTTTACCCATAGGGGAGTGCCTACCAACGGTACTGAAATTAGCAATAAGATGCTTCTGCTTCTGTTTCTGGTGCTATTCCCTCCCTTCGGGGATCCGGCATCAACCAGGTCATCCATGCCAACGATCTCTGCGACCACCGATCTCACCTGGACAGACCCTGCTTTAACCTGCAGTATGCAGCGTACCCAGCCACAGCACCTCGCGTTGACACCCCCTCAGAGAGAAGCAGGGATTTCATAACCGGTAGAAGCCCCAGCTGGTATGCCTGAAGCTATCAGAAATCCTGAGAAAAGGACCTCCCGAAAAGAAAAAGGCCAAAACTCCCTACTGGATTGGCCTGCTTGCGTACGTCCTCAGGCTTCGGTCCTCCGAGCGGCGAAACTCATGAGGTCATTAGTCTGAGACTCCTTGTCGCCCGTCCGAATCCAAGGCTAAGTATATACACGGGCTAGAACTTAGAAAGAGTTCAGGTCTGAGCTTCAAGGCCTCGAGTTAAGGACCAGGGCTTTGCCCAGTGTCGGGTTTAGGGCATGTCTAAGGATGGCAAATCTTGCGATGAGCAAACTGTGACGCCATTCTTGGGTCTTGATGTTCAGAGACAGGACTGCTCAATTCATTCATCTCAAAGGCAAAGTCTGATAGGGGTGCAGCCGCCCCGGCTCTTTCCAAATTCAGGGGCAACCCGGCTCCGTCTACACAGCTCCGACGTGCTCATGGTCTGCTGTTTTCTAAGGGATTTAGGGATTAAACTGGGATCGGTATAGTTTCGTTAAGATTCCTTTACAGGGTTTGGGGGTTGTAATGGGGTTGTAATGCTCTCGAACCACGAACTTTATTATGGTTTGGGCATGGGTGCTCTGTTTACCGTATGCTCTCGAACCACGAACGTTATTATGGTCTGGGCATGGGTGCTCTGTTTACCGTATGCTCTCGAACCACG